TTTTTTTTTTTTTTTTTTTTTTTTTTTTTGGTCTCTTGTGGTTTTGCAACCAATTAGATACCTACGTATTGAAGCTAAATTAATTCTTTGATCGATCTTCTGAGGCTACATTAATAAATTCAAAATTTGATTACTGATTGAGTTACTATTATTCATACATTTGTTACTATTTTAGCATTTAAGTTACTCATTTGCCATCAAGTCACTAGTTTGATGCCACGACTCAATTTTCGAACTTTTGAATCACGAATCATACATAGGCTAACAAATTGACATTGAAAAGTACGATAAATTTTTTTGAAAATTTAAAAATCACAACATTAAAAGATAAAATCAAATATATTTATTATTTTGAAGGGATTGTCTGAGTATTAATATAAAATTAGGGACCAAGGTACGAGATACCCAACAAATTATAGCCGAAATACCAAAAGAACTGGCTCTTTGGATCACAACTCCAGAATGCTTCCCACGTCAACCAGGTCAACTATCATATCTGGTGAACATAAAAATAGTTGGTAAGTAGCCTACCACGGTAGGCTTTTAAACATCCATGACCTAGATAGTTATCCTGAGCTTTAATCTGGACTCTAAGAAGTTCATGCATAAGTTCATACACCTAATGCTCCTATACCTATCTAAGCTTTTGGATGGTCTAGAAGTTCCTAAGTCAGTTTTCGTGTGTATTACAAACCCAATAAAGGTTTGGAGGTTGTTCACCTAACCTAGTGTCGCACAATCACCTGAACGACCTAACTAAGCTTTGAGGTGAACCAACTTGTTTGATCTTCTTATTTAGCAGCTTATATTGATTAGGAAGTGAATCACTGGTATCCTAAGTTGAAGAGGAGCAACCTCAACAAACATGCTGACATGAAAGACGATATGGCATCGTGAGACCTGAATATCATTTGTGAAAGCTCAGCTAGCAACCCCTCCACAATACTGAAGTGGGGGAGCAACCTCGTGTGTTGACTAACTACCGAGTTTACCTGTGTGGTCCATAGCACTTGTGACGAGTTTATGGAACAACGACCTTATTCAGAGAACCCTGACTATTTCTAAACCCCATAAGGCACTAGCGAAATTGAGACAAGCTTGACATCACTGAGTTGTACTACGAGAAATTAGAAATGGTCTTGACTTTGGTGATATCGTTCACGACTACTAATAGACATGGTAAGCTATCTTGGATTCTTCTTATTGCCATGGTGGTAAACTAGATGCTTTAAGAGTTAGTGTGTCACACGATGAATTTTGCAAAACCCTCAACTCGGCCTCGGCTTACATACGCCCGAATAACGAAAATCACCTAGCATCTCCTCCTGAGTTGATGTATTACCTCTTGTTCTTCCTTCCTTTGAAACTCAAGGCCTTCTTCTACCATGAACTCGCCTCTTTTGTGTTATCCCAGTGTCATCTTTCACTTCAACTCTCAATGTCTCGTTGAAGCTTAACATATTGCTTTTGCAACCAATTAAATCAAACAATAAACATAACTCAAATAACAGATTCTTTCGGTATTAAAATAAAAAGAATACAGGATCAGATCCTAAAGAACTCTTGAAATTAAATCTTTGGCAATTATTTATATAGTTCAAATAAAATGACCAATTTGCCAATCGGCTAGAACAGCTCAGTTGGTTAAAGCATGTGGCCTTAACCACAAGGTTACGGCCTTAACCACAAGGTTACCTCCAATCTATGAGGTTTAGTGTGGGGCTGGTTTGAGGTTCAAACTCTCCTTCCAGTAACTTGTGAACAACCCCAAGGTAATTCAATCTTGAATTTACTTAATTTATATATAAATTGTTTTGAAGCCACAAGGTTACCTCTAATCTATGAGGTTTAGTGTGGGGCTGGTTTGAGGTTCAAACTCTCCTTCCAGTAACTTTTGAAAAACCATAAGGTAATTCAATCTTGAATTTACTTAACTTGATATATAAATTGTTTTGAAGCCACAAGGTTACCTCTGATCTATGAGGTTTAGTGTGGGGCTGGTTTGAGGTTCAAACTCTCCTTCCAATAACTTTTGAAAAACCACAAGGTAATTCAATCTTGAATTTACTTAACTTGATATATAAATTGTTTTGATTTGGAATTGTTTTGATTTGGAAGAAGAAATATATATGACACAGTAAGCTAGTTTCCGAATAGTGTAGATTGAAGAAATCTTTATATAGGCTGAAATAATCTCATCGTCAATGGTATATGAATTTTGATCACTTTATGGTGGAGCATAAGTACACTCATAGTCAATTTGACAATTGGGTGATTTGTTTATCTATTTGATCTTGTACGTTGATGATATGTCAATTGCTTCCAAGAAACAAGTCACTATAGCTTTTTAAAGAACCTAGATGCATGGTTTGGTTAATGACTTAAGTATTTCTCAATAATAAATAGAAGTGTTTTGTGCTCGTACCAAACATATTGATGTCTGATTTCATTTTGTTCGAGAAATTATTGATGAAGGGAACATTTGTTTATTGAAAATTGGAACTGCTAATAATTTTGCGAATATGTTAACAAAGATAGTTGCTTGGGAAAAGTTCCAGCATTACTTGGATCTGATTAACATTGGATGGAAAAAGTAGCTGGTTGACTTGGTGGCAGCCAAATAAGTTATATGCTTGAAGATCTTCTGACAAGGTGGAGATTGTTGAGAATTGTCACCGAGACTTGTTAATTAATACTTTTGGTACATTCTCCACTTTGATTCATGAATTTATTGGATTCATTTGTTTTATCTCCCATATTAGTACATTATCTCATATTGGTACATGAATCATCTTGATTCATGTATGCTAGTGTTGCTTTAATTTATATATGAGGATTAGTATTGCTATGTTTGTATAAAAGTTTGTCTAGCATAGTTTTAAGATGTGGAGTCAGTGTCATTTTGTATTTGACGAGAGATAATTGGGAGGAACTTTGAAAGAGAATTTGTAGTGTGAGAGAGTGTGAGTTACACTTGTAAACACTTTGGTTATTGATTGGCTATCACCTGTGGATGTAGGAAATTTTTTCCTTTTGAATCATGTAAATCTTTGTGTCTATTTGTTTAATTTATATTTGTGGGTGTGTGACTACGACCGATCTTACGTCCGCTTCCTTCCCAACAATTGATACCAAAGAATTTTGATTGTGGCATTTTTATGAATGGTTTACAATCTTGATAATTCTTAAAAATAATATAAGAGTTGACTTATTGAATCGACTATAAAAACTACTGTCATAAGAAATGTTTGGTTCTCCTCTTTAACCAATATAGGATCTCACAATCCACCCCCTTGTGACCCAGCGTCCCCGCTGACACAGAGGGGTTTCCACACCCTTATAAGAAATGTATGGTTCCCTTTCCAACTGATGTGATATCTCACAATCCACCCCCTCGGGGGCTCAACATCCTCGCTGGCACACCGCCCTGTGTGTGACGTTGACATTTGTAACAGCCCAAACCCATAACAAGCAGATATTGTCCGCTTTAACTCGTTACGTATCGCCGTCAGTCTCATGGTTTTAAAACGCATCTGTTAGGAAGAGGCTTCCACACCTTTATAAGGAATGTCGGTTAGGAAGAGGCTTCCACACCTCTATAAGGAATGTCTGTTAGGAAGAGGCTTCCACACCTTTATAAGGAATGTTTCGTTCTACTCTCCAACCAATGTAGAATCTCACAGCTAAACACCAAACTTTATCCATATACCATAAACCCATTAGATTATTCCTTGAACCTGATCCACCCATTTGTCAACTATATATGGTTCAAAATTACATTAATAACTTTAGATTTATCCTATAATAAATAGTGTTAAATTGCATATAAAATGATCAAAATTATTATTAAAAATAAAATAATTAACTACTAGATTTTATGGCATAAAGCCCAACAATCATTCAACAAAATACCTAAACTAATATCAATAGTACTTACATATTAAACTTAAAAACTCCGATCTACCGAATTTGAACCAACAACTTAAGGATGACTTTGGACCACTACAGTCCTCCGCTCTACCAACTAAGCTAAGGTCAAACTTGTATAAGAATTATATACCGTAATATAAACAAAATCAACAAAATTAATATATTAAAAAAAAACTAAATTAATAAAAATATCTGTAAGCGATTAACAATTTCAGTAATACATATATATTAACCTTTCAAAAACTCCAACATCATTTTGGTCGTGGCATTTATACAACATCTGGAACCTCCCATTGAATTTTTTTGCTTTCATAAAGAACTTGATTTGTATTGGGTTTTACAATTTGAAGCCCATTTAGATTCAAACGTATGATTTCTTAAAGTGCCTTCAATGTGTTTGAATACATATGCGTAGGTGCCAAATTCTCATACATATGATAATA